TTTTGTAAACGCCACACTTAGTACAAATGAGTCTTGTAAACATCACATTTAGTACAAAGGAATCTTGTAAACACCACACTTAATAGAAATGAGTCTTGTAAACATCACACTTAGTACAAATGAATCTTGTAAACATCACACTTAGTACAAATGAGTCTTGTAAACATCACACTTAGTACAAATGAATCTTGTAAACACCACACTTAGTACAAATGAATCTTGTAAACATCACACTTAGTACAAATGAGTCTTGTAAACATCACACTTAGTACAAATGAATCTTGTAAACACCACACTTAGTACAAATGAATCTTGTAAACATCACACTTAGTACAAATGAATTTTGTAAACACCACACTTAGTACAAATGAATCTTGTAAACACCACACTTAGTACAAATGAATCTTGTAAACATCACACTTAGTACAAACGAGTCTTGTAAACATCACACTTAGTACAAATGAATCTTGTAAACACCACACTTAGTACAAACGAGTCTTGTAAACACCACACTTAGTAGAAAGGAATCTTGTAAACACCACACTTAGTACAAATGAATCTTGTAAACATCACACTTAGTACAAATGAATTTTGTAAACACCACACTTAGTACAAATGAATCTTGTAAACACCACACTTAGTACAAATGAATCTTGTAAACATCACACTTAGTACAAACGAGTCTTGTAAACATCACACTTAGTACAAATGAATCTTGTAAACACCACACTTAGTACAAACGAGTCTTGTAAACACCACACTTAGTAGAAAGGAATCTTGTAAACACCACACTTATTATAAATGAACCTTGTAAACATCACACTTAGTACAATGAAATCTTGTAAACATCACACTTAGTATAAATGAACCTTGTAAACATCACTTAGTAGAAAGGAATCTTGTAAACACCACACTTAGTACAAATGAGTCTTGTAAACATCACACTTAGTACAAAGGAATCTTGTAAACACCACACTTAGTACAAATGAATCTTGTAAACACCACACTTAGTACAAATTAATCTTGTAAACACCACACTTAGTACTTAGTTCCACATATTATTCATCATTAGCATGCAAATTACCGAAAACAGGAAGATAATCTCTCATGTACACTTAGTACAATGAAATCTTGTAAACATCACACTTAGTATAAATGAACCTTGTAAACATCACTTAGTAGAAAGGAATCTTGTAAACACCACACTTAGTACAAATGAG